TGTATCCTGATTCAGTGGGCTTACAAAGTCCATTCCCTCTAGGACTAGGATTCAATTCAATGTTACATCAGTGGAAGGGTATTCATTCAACTACCTCCTCCTTGCTTTATTCAATGAAGTACTTCTAGTAAGGCAGAGACTTCACATTCAGACACTTGGGAGGCAAAACATGATGAAGGATCCATGGTTCTAGTAATTCTCTGAAGCACATAAACTAAAGACATCCTGACTAAGGAAGAAAGTATGGAGACCAATGGAGAGTCCATGAGGGACTCTTTTCCATCCCAGCCACGCTTGAGGGCTTGGGTTCAAGACTGTTGACCAACTTTATTTCAAATTTGAGAAAGTTCACATTGATTTTAATCTCAACATTTCCTTAAATTGGCACCTGGGTGCTCAAACCTACTCGTGTAAAAAAAAGAGGGTGCTTCCTTGGTGGCCCAGTGGCTAAGACTCCCAGTACAGGGGGCCTAGGTTCAATCCCTCATCAGGGAACTAACTAGATCCTGCATGCCGCAGCTAAGACTCAGAGGAGGCAAGTAAATAAATATAAATTTATTTTTAAAAAAGAGTAGAGGAAGGAAAGGAAGAAGGGTTGGTTGCTTGGCTGACTACTGCTATTGGTACAGTTTTAATAAATCCCCTGGACTAGATATACTTGGTTAATCAGCACATGGAACTAGTTAGTCACATTTTTGCAGAGGGAGACCATTTCGCTTTTGTACAGTAAATGGTTATTGAACATTTATCACACGTCAGGGGTGTCAGGGGTCCCAGCAGCCAGATGTAGAAGGTTGGGAAAGGCTGCCTAGGGAAGTGTTTCCCAGCATGAAGTGATGGGGGAAGTGCTCCTGCCAGGGCGCATGGCTCTAGGTGAGGGCCCTAGAGGGGAGAGGACGCATGGCACAGGACAAGAAATGAAAGGAACTCTGCACAAAAGAGGGAGAAGTGCAGGGAGAGTCCAGTAAGGAAGGAAAGCCTGGATCAAGCTTTGTTAGGGATTCTGATTCTGTCTAACAAGTAACAGGCATTCACAGAAGGGTTTGGAGCAGAAGAGGCTGACGTGATTACACACTTGAAAGTTTTACAAACACCACTGAACTGCAGAAGGGAGAGCAGAATGGGAAAGAGGAAATGCTGGAGACAGAGACTTTTGTTTCTAAGAAATATTAGTAGCTCCCAGAACCACTGGGAAGGATGAGTAAAGGGAGCCTAGCTAAACTTTCAGGAGCAATTCCCAAAACACCAGGCCAACAAAGGAGCCGCTGCTTCTGGCATGAGGAAGAAAATCAGGGTGCTGCTCCATAGCTGCCAGCTTCAGGGCAGCCACCAGGCAGTGGCCGGGGATCACCGAGGTCCGGAAGGAGGACTGTGGAGTAGAGGTGGGGAGGAATGAAAAGATGGGCTCTTTAGCAAGAAGGAGGGATGAAGACAGGGCGGGAGAGTGACAGGTGACACCCAGGATTCCGCATGAAGTAATAGGATGGACAGTTACTGAATGAAATAGGGTAACAGAAGGGGAAGTGGGGTGGGAAAAATTAACGTGGGGTTTTGGACTTCAGGCGTCAAGAGATGTGAGACGGGAGCAGGGATGAGGTCATCCAGAGAAAGCACTCAGGCCAGGCGGAAGAGGGCCCAGGATGCAGCCTGAGCACCATCACAACCACCAGGGAGCTGGGCCAAGGGGACCAGAAGAGGGGCAGGGTTACCCAGGAAGTGAAGGAAGCAGGGGTCAGCAGTGCTAAATACTGCAGAGGGAGGGGGCCATCAAGATGACGCCAGAGACAATAAAACTAGTACTATTTCTGTCTAACACAAGCACAATAAAAAATGTACAGATAGTCAGCTTAATTACAGGAGCATAGGTGTAGCTTATTCAGATGATCCAGAATGCATTTGTATTATTATTAAATTTTGATCTAAACTGTTTAGAAATAAAAGTATGAAACATTGCCAGACCCCTGGGGTCTAGAAAGCTGTTTAAGAAGTAGTCATTTATAAACTTCTGTTGTACAGGAACACTTTGCATTCAAAAGCATTATGTGGCATAGTGTGGGGAAAAAAAATGAGGACAGAGACTCACAGAGAAACTGCTGTGACCTTTCAAGGGGCAGACACGGTAGAAGGTGGACAGAGAGTAAGACAAGAACGCCCACGGACCCTGTTGTGTTTAAGGAAGAAGTAGAACCCCTGGCTACCATTATTTTTCAGATGGAGAAGGAGAAGATAAAAGTAAAGGCAAGGGGAAAGAACAAGAGGAATATTTATTTACATCTTATTTGTGTTTGATATAAACATTCATGTAGGATCACAGGGAGATTTACCAAGAGTCAGAATATTATTAGCAGTAGAAGTAATTAGAGTTTTAGCAAGATTCATAGATAAAAGATAAACTTTAAAAAAACCAATTATTTCTCTATACCAGCAACCAGAAAATGTAACAAAGAGCTACCACTCCCAATAGCAAAAACAAAAACCCAACCCCATCACATATTTAAGAATTGAACACTGTTCAGAGTATGAGAGGACCACCCCCCCCACCATGGAGAAAATTTTAAACTGTTAAAAAAAGTTAAGATCTGAATAAGTTATGCTCTATTTGGTGGGAACATAAAGTGGTGCAGCCACTATGGAAAGCACTATGGAGGATCCTCAAAAAATTAAAAATCAAACTACCCTATGATCCAGTAATCCTACTTCTGGGTATTTATCTGAAGAAAATAAAAATACTAACTCAAAAAGATATCTACACCCTCATGTTCACTGCAGCAATATTTACAATAGCCAAAACATGGAAACAATCTAAGTGTCTATCAACAGATAAATAATTAAAGAAGATGTGGTATATGTATATATAAAATGTAATTTTAATCAACTATAAAAAAAGAAGGAAATTCTGCCATTTGTGACAGCATAGATGGACCCTGAGAAGAGCATCATGCTAAGTAAAATCAGTCAGACAGAGAAAGACAAATGCTGTATGATGTCACTTATATGTGAAATTTAAACAAACAAAACAAACTCACAAAGAAAACAGACTGGTGGATGCCGAAGGTGGGGAATGGGGGAGAGCAAAAAAGGGTGAAGGGGATGTCAAAAGTTACAAATTCTAGTTATAAAATAAGTTCCAGGAATGTAAAGTTCAAATTGGTGACTACAGTTACTAATATTTCGTTGTATATTTGAAAAGTACTAAGAGTAAGTCTTTAAAAGTCCTCAGCACACACACAAAAAGTCTGCAACTATACATGGTTAAGTATGTTATAATAAATAGCCTTATCACGGTGATCACTAACTGTGACTATACAAATGTAAGATCATTATGTTGTACACCTGAAATTAACAAAAATGTTATGTGTAAGGTATACCTCAATAAGAAAAAAGACTTCAGTTCTCACTAAATCAATTGATAAATTGAGTGTAATCTCACATTGGTTTTCTTACTGCATTATACTATTAGTATTTAGAAATTCAACCTTATCCCCAATGCATATGAGAGAACAATAGTTCACAAAAGTGAAAACAGCACTAAAAACAAAAAGTTAAGAAAAAAGGGGCGCTTGTTCTGTGACAACAAAAGCAGTGCAGTGCTGGCATGCAGCAGCGAGAATGCTGAGACATTTCACGACTGCACAAGGCCTACTTACTACACAGTTAAGACGGTGCATAACTGGCTGCATATGCAGAGAGAAAAAAATAAAAACAGGTTTTCACCCAACACTATACACAGAGGTGGATCACAGGTAGGTTAGCAATGTAACGTGAAAGGTAAAACCATAAAGCTGACAGAATCAATGCAGAAAAATATCCTTTGTGACTTATAGAAGAAAAATACTTGTTAACCCCCCCTCCAAATATAAGACTTATGTGTGTATTATTGATGCACAACACAAAACATTTAAAAAAAACTCTCCTTCTCAGTGGCAAGTTTTCAGTAGATTTTCCATATTAAAAAAAGAAAAAATGAGAAGAAATGAGAGCATTCTTTATGATTTTTCATTTAAGTATAAAGGATTTATGAGTATCAGATAAATAGAATGGGTGCTTTAATTTTATATTTAAAAGAAAACATTAAAGCACTGGGTAAATACTATTGATTTTTTTAAACTCCATAAATGTCACCAGTTTCGCTTTTCATTCACTTTTATTATACTCCATATAGTGCTCCAAATACTTCAGAGTAAATCTAAATTATCAAGAGACTCATCAATTGTAATCTGCTGTTTTCTATACTTGCAAAACTTTCAAACTAAAAGAACTCATGTTACCCCCTGCCCTTAAAATTAGTGCAAATAGACCAAGGGGAATAGAATGAAACTAAAACACAAGATTTTTGAAAGTTGCATTGAACACATTAGAGTTATTTGAGCACAACTGAATGAAATAAAAAATACTGTATACTTCAATTTTCACTGAAATCTTAGGTTACCCTAAAAACTTAAGGCTATATCACAACTGCTTCATTTCACTACTCTTAGCTTTCACAAGAGATAGAATAGGTACCTCAGAATTCAAATGTACTAAAAATGCTCTAAAGAAAGCACAAAATAAGCATTTGTTTTGAAATAAGATGTTTAGAAAGTAGGCTTGAGTGTAACAACAGGGGAAAAACCCAAATTCAGTGCATTGTGGACTGGATACTTAAGTCTTCCTAAGACTAGGTACTAAAAACATATTTGGTACATTTCTAATCCCCAGAGGAAGAATATTTACTTAAAAACTTCATGTTTCCAACTCCTTTTTTTCCATTATGTTACTCTGAATTTAACTTTTCTTTAGAGCCAATGAAATCTGCTAAAAATAAAAAACTGTATAGTTTATTTAACTTTTGGTATAGTATACTAAAATACTTCTCCAAGCCTTTTTAAAGTCCTCCCTACCCCCTCCCTCCCTCCCCAAATCTACGTCCTGTATGTTTCAGAGAACTATGAAATCACCACTAAACGGCGTGCTCTAGTAACCCACAGGTATTCTAAATGAATTAGATGAATGACATATACCTTGAACCACCACCTGGCTGCCTGGGACAAAGAACTGCTGTGTGCCATCTGCTGACTGTGCTGCGTACTGCACAATTGTAGCACCTGGTGGAGGAGCTCCTGAATTTGTCATTGTTAATGCCTGCAGTCCCTGAACACCATCAGATCCTGGGTTAGAAATCTGGATTGTTCCACCTTGGGCTATAGCAACTTAACAGAAAAAGAAAAGAAGGATTAGAGAATTTCAAGATTTGTTCTTAACAACCCCATATTGGAAGAATATATACTCTGGACCTATATATGACCAAAGCTTCTCGTTCTCAAGTTACCCTTAATTCTCTATGCTAGATTGATTGATCAAGGGACCCTCCTTCATGGGACAACGCACTGAAAAAGCTCAAAACACTTGAAAATTCTTATATTCAGGACTGCTTGAAATACACAGAACTCAGAGAGTTCTTCCTCCTCCCTGGCATTCATATATATATTCAGTATTTAAGAGGAAGAATGGAGATGCAGGCAGGGATAAAGTCCAGGTTTTGACTTTCTCCTTTCTTTCTCATATATTATTAGTTATAAACAACATTCTTCTAAGACTTAAGCAATGGTCAGTTAAATTCCATCGAGCATTATAATTACAATAAATTTGTACCTTCAGTTAACTACTTGTCTAATTTATCATCAAAAGAAAGTAACTTTTAATGGAATATATATTTAATATATAGCTTTAAAGCCTATATGTATGTATTAAAATATGTGTACTTATATATTTAATAAAACATGTGTATATATATATATATTTAGACATGAGGTTTTATTTATTTATTTTTAGACATGAGGTTTTAAAGTGCAAGTCTATAAGACTGTAACCTTTACCATTTTGACTATGTCAGGAGAATCCTGAAATATAAAATGATAAGTTGGAAAGAACCTTAAAAGGTATCTGTACAGAAAGAATTTGTGCTACAGTATTTACCTCTACAAAGTATCTTAAATAACTGTAGCTATGGCAACAGATATGAGGTAGACTTCCCTTAAACACTGAGACTTACCAACCATGTTTAAAAGTTGACATATTAACAGAAAGTTTCAAAAGAATAACTGATCAAATGTTATATTTTAAAATTTCACTCTAATAGACAAATAAGTATTATTGAAAATATCTGAGAGCTCTATATACTTTAACATAAAGATGACTCCATGTTTTAGTTTACACACTAGAGGTTAAGTGGAACAAGGGCTAGTCTTTAAAAAAAAAAATCACATATAAACCAGCTAACTAGACTTTACAATGAATATAGAAGTTAACACATAATCAGAGTAACATGACACCTAAGTGCCTTACTGGAATGCTGTGGTAGTGTCTAAGGTATATTCTGAATATTTCAGAGTCATTTTCTAACTTTGTTATGGCATCTAAGCAAAGGTGACAATCTGATCAGATAAACCTGTCAGAACTATTAGTAACAATAACCACCACCACCACCAAATCTTCAGTTCTTTGACCTAAAGTTCTAGGGCCAACACAGAAAGATAAGTTAACATTTTAAAAAAAGATTTCAACACAGAGGCACTATCTGGTTTTAGTTCACTGGCAGGCTACCACAAGATTGATAGAAACTGAAGAATCAATTACCAAAATGTCAACAGTTGAGAAACTCTGAAGTAATCTCACTTTATTTGTCTGGTTCATCTACAGCATTATATCTTGTACACATTTTCAAAACAAGATTTCACCATGACTGTCTAAAGATTTCAAGGATCTCAGGGCTCACTCTTAATAATAAAAGGGTTTGAGAGAAATCTAAAAACGAAGAGATCGCCTCCTTGGATCTTCATGGCTGGACATGAATGAATGTCATATGTTGTTATGTATTTGAATGCATATATTCAGTTGATAGTTGGATGTCAAAGAAACAGCATTTTATAAAGAACAGGCACAGGCAGTGTACCCACCATGTTAAGAGGCACAAAGCCTAGCACACAGCAGGCCCTCAATAAATATTATTGATGAGTGAATGGCTATCATTTCCTCAAGACAGGACAGATAAAAACTTAAGCCACATGTAAGTGTAGAAGAGTTAAATGAAGTATGGTTTCAAATTGTAATTATAGAACTTAATTTTCCATATTGACAATATTATCAAGCTTGTCAACTAGTAACAGATCTAAGTAGTTGCTTCCAAGGATAAGAACCATGAAATAGGTAGATAAAGATCCTTTCTTTCTTCTTTTCATACTTCATTTTTTTTACTCTTTTAGTTTTCAATGTTTTCCCAATAGATCTAACCAAATTTATTTGCTTTCATGCTGTGAAAAACTGAATCTGTTCTTATTTTATTTTTCTGATCATTATATAATTAGAAATGGAAAACAAAAGACACGCGGGCACACAGAAGCTGGCTCTCGAGAGAAAATGTTTCTACTGATAAGTCTTGTCCTTTAGCCTAACTTTTATTTTTTTTTATATCAAGGCACTCTTGATTTTAGCATAAGCAAATGACAGAGGGCTCTCCCATTTAAAAATATTATCTCTCAACTGACAATATCCCCAATGCTGAAAGATTTCTCAGTGCTTCAGGATACCGGAAATAGGCTTTGTGAGCATGTGTGTATATATTCAAAAGATGTGAGGAGGAAACTTTTTAGGTTACAAAAATTTTCAAGGATAGCATAATATGTTTTCAATAAACACATCAGTATAAATTAAGTAGTAGGAAAAACAAAAATGAAATTAACTGAGTGAGTCTAGTCATATCTTAGCTAATTATTAGCTTTACAAGCTTATGGAAATTTTCTAGTGAACGTAAAAGGTAAAAGAATTTTGTGTCAATTATTTGCCCTACCCACTTATTCCAAACCTTTTCTTTTGGGGGGGGCAGTCTGAAGTATTTTAAAACCAATATCAGACATCAGGTCTGGCAAATCATTTTAAAATAAAATCATTGGCCCATATCAAGGCCATTAGGAACCAATGAAAATAGACTGATTTCTAGGTCCTTAGACACTTAGGTTTTACTAATGCTCTCTTGGACTGAAAGGGCTGCCCTGGAGGCTCAGATAGTAAAGAATCCACTTGCAATGCAGGAGACTTAGGTTTGATCCCTGGGTCAGGAAGATTCCCTGGAGAAGGGAATGGCTACCCATCCAGTATTCTTGCTTGGAGAATTCCATGAACAGAGCAGCCTGGTGGGCATGCAACTGAGGCATAAAAACTTATACTTATGGCCACTTTATTGTTCATAATGGAGAGCCTACACGGGCCTGTGTATAGTGATCAGGATGCAAGCAGAGGTAAAGTAGTGTATTATTTTAGGCCACTTAACACATGCACACTTATTTTCCTCTTCTCAGTAAGCCTTAATAACATTATGATTTGATGAAATAATCTCAACTCAAGGAAAACTGAATGGTTAGACGATCAGTTAAATTCTACTTCACTGCCCATTATGAGTTGACTCAAGCCTGATGGTATACTATCTGCCCAGAGTAGTGGCAGGCAGAGGTTAAGCTCTGGTGTTGCAGTTGCTCTGGGAGATGCCTAACTTTCTGTCCCCTGAAGTCTCAGGTGAACAGCACCCCATAATTAAGTAGGTCACTCTGTACCCACAGACTGAATGTTGAACACACTGACCTTACATTAAAAAAAAAAAAGTTTGTCTAGAGAGAGTTTAATTCATTAGTTAAGAAGTATTTTTCCACTAAGTCAGTTTTAGTGGTTACACAGATGTCTTCATATACATTCTGACATAGCCATGATATTTAGTTTCCAAATTAGAATTAACAAGTATGATCTCCCTATCCCCAACTTACCATATCCCATGTTAGCCAGGATGATACCATACCAACTAGTCTAGGCAATGAATTTTTTAAAAATTCTTGGCATAAAAAACTGTTTTAAAAAATCTGCTACTTCTACTATTCACTGCCATGGCACACTTCTCTTCTTAGAGGAAGTAGTATCACTGAAGCAAGGAAAACACTACTTATAGGGTGAAAATTCAAGAAATTGATTAAAAATAATATTTAAAGGCATATATAATCAATAAAGGAGGAAGAGAAAAATAAGGATGGAAACTGAAAAAGAAAAAATTCATGACCAAATGAGGAAGAAGCAAAATTTAAGATTTCATCTGACCTCTTTTCACATAATACATCTTTTTAAATCTAAATCTGTATATATGAGCTAATTCAAACTACAGGATCCACCATGGAATATTACTCAGCCATTAAAAAGAATTCATTTGAATCAGTTCTAATGAGATGGATGAAACTGGAGCCCATTATACAGAGCGAAGTAAGCCAGAAAGATAAAGACCATTACAGTATACTAACACATATATATGGAATTTAGAAAGATGGTAACGATAACCCTATGTGCAAAACAGAAAAAGAGACTCCTATGTATAGAACAGACTTGTGGACTCTGGGAGAAGGCGAGGGTGGGATGTTTCAAGAGAACAGCATTGAAACACGTATATTATCTAGGGTGAAACAGTTCACCAGCCCAGGTTGGGTGCATGAGACAAGTGCTCGGGCCTGGTGCACTGGGAAGACCCAGAGGGATTGGGTGGAGAGGGAGGTGGGAGGGGGGACCGGGATGGGGAATACATGTAAAAAAAAAAAAAAAAAGATACACTATGGTTGTGATAAAAAATAAATAAATAAATAAATAAATAAAAAACAAAAAAACAAAAAAAACAAACTACAGGATCTTCCCTGTAGCTCAGATGGTAAAGAATCTGCCTGCGATGAAGAAGACCCAGGTTCGATCCCTGGGTCAGAAAGATCCTCTGGAGAAGGGAATGGCAATCCACTTCAGTATTCTTGCCTGGAGAATCCCACGGGCAGAGCAGCCTGGCGGGCCACAGTCCATGGGGTCGCAAAGAGTCGGACCCGACTGAGCGACTAACACTACCACTACTACTATATATGAGCTAACTCAAACACACAGACATGTAAATGTTTAATTACTTACAATTTACAATTTAAAACCATCTTTATTCCAATTGCAATGAAAGGATTCATAAATAAAACCTCATTGAATGAACTTTAAAAAAGAACAGCCAAAAAAAAGAGAAAGAACAGACCTTATTCCAGTGAATTCTCAGACTGAAATTCAAAAAGTGAGCACAACAGAGCAACTATGAGTACTTGAAAGACTAAAACAGTCTGGTGCTACAAGAAGAACAGCAACACCAAAGTTAAAGAACCAGACTTACACTAAGCAGATACCATCCCAAGTCTGCTTTGACAGGTTCCTTGGGAGTACAGAAGCCAAGTCATTCCTAACAGCAATAAATGCAACTGCATTTACTTTGGAATGCACAAGCCGATCATGCCAATTCCTCTTATGAAGAAATGGAATGGGTGCTTATTCATTTGAGTTTCCTGAGAATTCTGAATTCTTCAAGCAGTCCACAAAGGTCACAGAAAACCTTTCTGCATAATGGTGGATTTAGGATGAACTTACTCACCGTTAGCATACAGATGAGTTAATAGAGACTCACTCTAACAAGATTCCTAGGAAAGCAAAATAGGAGCAAGAAAAGAAAAAGGGATATTTAAGAAAAAATAATTTGAAGTCTTGGATGATAGCCCTTAACTGGTAAGGGAAGAAGTAGGATTAGCTCGACAATGGATTTAAAAAAAACCTGTCTTTAGAGAAAATTTAATGAAGAAACTTCAAACATTTAAATTTCTTTACCTACAACAGCACAAATAGAATAACCACAACCTCTGTTCATGAATTCATTCCCACTCAATGCATGTCATACAGCAAGTAACATTCTTTGCTAATTCTAAGACAGTCTGAACCACCATTGTTCAGAAATAGTCTCTTGAGACAAATCAGATTTTCTTTGACCAGAATGACTTAATTGGCATACAGCAACCCTGTCACTATGATCGGTACTTCCAGTAAAGTTTCGCAAGTGTAGCTCACTTTCTTGGTGTTGCAATAATGAATCCCTGCCTATTTTAAGTTATTTTCCCTACTCTTGGAAATAGCCTATTCTAACTTTCACTTCTTGCTTTTGTCATTAAAGAAAATAAGTTGAAATAATAAAGCCAACTTCCATAAATATCTCACTTTCAACTACTAAAAATGCAACTACTTGTATATGAGAAAACTTAAGCACACTTTTTTTTTTTAGCACACTTCATATTTTAACTTTTTATTTTTATTTCTTCAACTTTTACAGTTCCTTTGTTTTTAACACCAACGAACTCACTGTATTAAATTAGAATAAATAATAATTAGTAAAATAAGTAAATAATAATTATAATTTATATATAATAATTTTTGAAGTTTTTTTATCCATGGATAAAAGTTGAAGAAAGAATTAAAATCTTTTTATAATAAAAGTTCATAGAACAATCTCAAAACTAGGTACATAGAAATACACAGAAAAATCTCCAGAAATTCTAGTAAAATAAACTCTAATCTAAAAACCAAAGGACACCAGTAACTCTTTCTATTTCTAGATATTTAAGAACATTTAATCCTTAATTTCTGTTAAGCTATTGCTAGTAAGAAATGGTTCATGAAAATGGATCTTGTTATAAATATACACTTAAAGCAAGGTCTTCTAAAGAAAAATATTAGTATTTACTTGTCAAATGAAATAATTATCAACATAAACAAGTGTCACTAAGTATCTAAGAGATCCGTTTTTAACATAGGCAATATCCCTTTTTTGAGAACTGATAAAATGGCAGTTTTTAACCTGCAGACAACACATATTGGACAAACACAACTTTTTATTAAAATAACTGCCAGGATCATACTGTATGGGTCCAAATTAAGAAAACTAAGTAACAAACTGTCCATGACATCTTATGGAGAAACTGTATGATAAACAGTAAATAAATATGCCTGAACTTCTAAGCTAAGGAAAAAAAAAATTGTCCATGACTTTTAATGTGGCAAATAAATATATACCCTAATTTCTAAACATTTGATTTTCTAGTTCTCAACCAGAACCCCTGACTCCACTCCCCCACACCCACATACTCCACACCCAAAGTAGTGACAACAATATTGAACCCCCAGCTCTAAGCGCACGCTAAGAGCTCAAGAAATGCTGCTGGAGAGGACAGTTTAATGACAGTGAGTGAGACACTGCCACAGCTGGCTTACATTTCTCTGTTTCACATCAAAAGCAGTATGTCTCTTTTGACATGAAGAGTCAAAAGATTTTACCCCACAGGTAAAATCTGTTGTCTCTTTTTGTTCTCACATTAACCCTGAGCTTGGCAATTTAGTGTTAGTCATACTTCAAAGAAACATGAGATGTGAAATTACACCAGGCAGTGACTGGCAGGACCATGTACCACCTCCTTCCCCGTATCATCACCAGCTTCAACATCCTCTCAACCCAACATGTTCTCACGACTCCAAATTCTCAGCTAATAATCTAGGAAAATTCACCCACAGCGTCCTTGCCCATGTCACTTAGAAACAGATCAATTGCTAAGCAGCTTCAGGATATGCCAGAGAGATGTGTAAGATGACAGCATCTTAATCACCCTCCAAACTTTAAGATATCTTAGCATAATTTCAGCAGTAATTTCCAACATTTTCCCTCTCATGACACAAAAGAGACAATGATCAGATGGTAACAGCCCACTGCTCAAGGCCAGAGCTGACTAACCAAGAGGTTCCAGCATCTCCAAGCCCCGCCCAGTCACACTGGTTCTAAAACTTCCACCATCTACTCCCACGGGTCAGACAAAAAAAGGCATATAAATCAGAGAAGTGATAAAAGAGAAATGAAGGGGAAAACCTCAAGGTCTCTTACAGACCGTGGAGAGTTCTCTTTTCCCAACATTGAATTTGGACATGTCCAATCAGCGCTATGTACAGGATGTGGACAAATTCTATTATAGCCCAGTTCTGCCTAGTACCAGGGTAGGAGCTACCCAAAGAACCAGAATCACCAAAGCAGAATTTGATTAATACTGCAAATCTACCACAACTAAAAGAAAAAACTAATGACTGTACAAGGCCTTCCCACAGATTACAGCAGCCAGGTCACAAGTTAAAACTTGAGATGTTTTGTAGGTATTATTACTTTTTAAAGGGAAAACAGAAAATATATCTAAAATATTAACACTGTACTTGGATCAACACAGTCATTAACATCACACATATTTCTGTACCTAACTAGCTTTTTTTTAAAAAAAACTTTTTTCCTGCCCTTTTCTCTTTCCCTCCCCACTTTTCTTTCTTTTTTTTACTGAAGTATTTTTTATACCAAATGTTCTTGATTTGGGGAAAGACTAGTGCCTTAACTGGAGCACAAAGCATAGAACTAGCAGCCCATTAAAATGCACAAGACTAAACGTGGATGCATCTGTTTATTTACAGCTTTTGGTGCTTAAAACTTCAGATAAAATGATCTGTCCAATTGTGTCAGTTTAAAAAAATAAGTCATTTTTCCATTCTCTTCCAGAAAAAGCTGCAGCACAAATTAACACAGTAGAGAGTAGTGGAAACAGAATTACATTTAAAACATAGTTTAGAAAACATAAGCACCTCTTTGAGATTAGTAAGATGTAACTGTTGGTGACAAAAGTCAACAGGAACGAAATACAGACATTTATATCTTACTATGTTCACATGCATCATAGAGACAAAAACAGTAAGCTTTAAGTGTTTACTAGATGTGAATACAAACATATAAATAAGAAAAACCTCCTCTTTATTTTGACCCCAAAGTTTTCTTCTATATTTAGTAAACAAAATTTTTTTTGTTATTTTTCAAAAGTATACGACAACTGTCAGTACAAATCTCTCACTTATTTAACATGTACTTTTCACACTGTGATACACAATTTAGGTATTATGATGCATTTTTTAAATGGAACAGTTTAGTGCCAAAACCCAAGCTGCTTCAGGGAAACAAGAGACTTAAAGCTAGCACTACGTCATATGGAATTGCCGCATACATACTGTATTGCCCCGTGCTAGTCTGATATATGCCAGTCGGCACTGCCATAGCAGCGATGTTAGGCGGTGATCCCTCTTCCTCTGATTTTTCTTCTTCAATCTTGGGTACACCAGGCACATCAGAGGAAAGTTCATTCAGTATTTTTCTAAAATATAATTCATCAATACAAAGAATTAAGATACATGAATGAGATTTAAAACAGAAAAGCTATCAGGGGAGAATCTGAGGTTATCTTTATTTCTCCCTTTTTGGAAAAACTTTTCATGACTGTAGGAAACTTAACTTACCTGTAAGAGGGTCTTCGTGAAAGGATTTCTCTACGTTTATGAGAATCAATTACACCTTCTGAATCTGCAGACTCATCTGTTTCTGCAATGGTTGCTACCTATAACACAAGAGTTCCTGAGATGCATCATAAAACCCATGGTACCTCCTTCATTCACAGCTCAGTGTCTGAAGGGGCTCTGTGTGCAGCCCAAAGCCGGGCACTGCCCACAGAACACAGAGCCGGGCTAACCGTGCTCACAACCTAGATCAGGAGAGGAAGGGCAGACATTGACGCTTCACTGTAAACCAGCCCGTGTACCAAGGATGACAGAGATGACAGACGCTACAGAAATGCACACACGCCAGACAAGCTTCAGGAAAACACTCAATGTAAGACACACAAGGCCTAAGCCCCAACCCTGAAAACGTCTCACAAATCCACCAGAGGGTGAGCAAGCACGTGACAGAGAAAACAATACCACTGCTGACTTAGGCTGGGTCTTCAAATTAGACATTAGATCCAAAGAAGAAAGAATATTAAGTAGGTAAATACTTGTGTTAACAAACCTGGTTAAAGTCATGATTTATATTACAAGAAGTAGGTTGGGCTTGATGTCAGTAGGTCTTGTCAAAATAAGGAATTACTCCTTAAAAGAAAGATCAGTTTTAAATACAATTTCATTTTTTGAAGGACTAGTATAATAGCATGAGTATTAAAGAAAGGAAACTAAAATAACAAATCTCTCCACAACATGACTGTTCTCAATATATTCAGCCATCTATCATAGGTTCTGAGTTTACAAAACTACCTATTAATATCATCTATCATCTAGTTCTGAGCTTACAAAACTCCTCCAATGAATATTATAAGGACATGGGATTTGATTTGAGTATAATCAAAAAATCATATTAAAATACCAACAATGTAAGCAGGAACATATACTTCCCAAGGCATATGGATGTGCATGTATGTTTGCCCACACGTATAACCATGCATCTTTGGTCATGGATACCCTATACATAAGCACACTCAGGCATGAAGAGAACTTATTAGAGAAACTATTGTTGCAGTCAGACAACCATACATCATCACCAACTATTTATCACTTTCAATTGGGCTTTCACACATCTCTTGCATAATCATAACCACCCCTTTGTGCAAGGTAGGCTATTACTGTAGAAAGTGAAAACTGAAGTTCATCATTCACCAGGTCAGAATTCTAAGACAAGATCCACAGGCTCCTACCTCTGTAAAGATAATTAAGTCACCCATTTAACAAAATCTAAAACAGCCTATTGAAAATGAGATAATACTCTCTCTTCCAGTGCTAGCGAGGTTAAAGCTAAGTAGAAATATCTGCATCCTAATAAAAGTCACAAAAAGGAGAGCGGACAGTCTTGTTTTATAATCAGAGTCAGAAAGAGTCAGAAGCTCCTAGAATCAAGGTCCTCACAAGAAAGGAAAAAAAAAAAAAGACACTACTGAGAATCACTCAAACTTTTGAACAACTTGGAAGAGACATCTGTGCCACAAAGATAAACAGACTTTTATTGCACATGGATTTAGTACTTCCAGTATCGTGGTGCAACTCTTATCCTTATTCTGCAACAAACTGGATTCAAATACACAGGAAAAGGACAAGACCAATTAAGCAACAAGAACGTATAAGCAACTACGTTTTCTTCACAGATCTTTTTGTCATCAGATAGGTTCAAATAATTTCAATATTTAAAGGATAAAGACAAACTGACCTTAAAAAGGAACAGAAATAAATTTAGTAAAAGAGAAAAGTATGCTTTAAAAATGCATACTTAATAATTTATATCTGTTAATGCAAAAAAGACTGTTTTTGCTTAAGAAATGTTAAGAATTTATGACCAACTTTGGTGACAATAAATAACAAAACATGTCTCTGGATCACAACTGCAACACTAACCACATCTAAAAAAAACCAAGGTTTAATCTGATGTATAAATGCAACAGCAATTAACAATTATATCATGGCACACATACTGAATGAACAATAAACATAAATTTCTACACTTTACTGTGAGTATTGGTGAAAACAGTGTCAGTACTACAATATTTACATTACGATGTTTATCAGACATCTCCAAAGAAGCCTCCAAGTACTTTTAAGCGTTTTTGGAGAGCTTTGCTAAATGAATCTAGAGTTTGAGCAAAGAGCAACAATTTAAAGGAGAATACTGGACCTGTGAATTAGGAGCTGACAACAAAACTGCAGCTCGAGTCAACCTCTGTATCCGACAGGGCACCAAGCACTTCACAAAGAAAAAGGGATCTGCCTGCAACGTGGGCGACCTGGGTTCAAAGCCTGGGGCGGGAAGATCGCCTGGAGAAGGGAACAGCTAGCCACTCCAGTATTCTGGCCTGAATTCAGGAGAGAGGAGCCTGGTGTGCTACAGTCCATGGGGTAGCAAAGAGTTGGACATGACTCAGGAACTTTCAAAAAAAAAGAACCTTCTACAGAAATAAAAAGGAATTCTTCCAAATGTTTAATAACAAAAGTTGATCATCACTCTTTTCCATGCCCACCAGTTCAACCACTTAGAATTTATCCTAAAGAAATTTTTAGGCAAATATACAAATATAGCTTATGTACATATATTTAGATAAACACAGGGATGTGTATAAATAACATTTCTCAAGGTGTTAAAAACTTAAAAAATACTTTAAAATATGGAAATTGTTACATTATGCTGAATTGTATTAAAATAATTTATATTAGGTCATCTGTGACTAAAAAAAGACACTACATATAATTGGTAACATTACTACCTTATAATTTGGTAATAATATAGTACATATAAATAATAGAATACTGCATGCCATTAAAACATGTTTATGTATGCACATAGAAAACATATATGGAAGACTTTCAACCAAATGTTAATAGTACTTATATCTGAGTGTTGAGATTATTTTTACTTTCTTCTTTTCTGTATTTTATAATTTTTCTCTCAATGAACATAGGCATATGTGCAATTTCAAAATAAATAAAGAAGCCAGTGTTGACAAAACAAAAAAAAATTACCACCATACTAATAGATTGTTCCTTATATGGTTAAAAAAAAAGCATCAAATCTACAGGGGAAAAAAAAAAGGATAAATGAATTAGCAAAAGCAAGAATAAAAGCTCAAGAAAGTCAAAGAGAAGTCGCCTAGGAAGGAAGCCAACCTGAACAGTCTGTATTTGTGGCGACTGAATAACGGATGGCTGTGGCGTCTGAATCACTCCCTGGACATGGACGGTCTGGCCGGAAGGTAACTGTACTAGAGTTACAGCTGGGGAGCCTCTTCCGGCGCTGGATCCAGCTACAGAAACCTGCAAAAACCAGCATCGTTGAAGATTAAGGCTGAACATTTTTTTTTTCTCCACTGTTACAATCTGCCTATTTTCCCTGCTTCTAAGAAATGACCAGCAAGCCAGGGTACTCACCATTAGGAGATGGTTACAGTGCTGGAACAGTCATTCTCTGATGTGACAGATATTAAAGAACCCATGCGTCTCACTTTCAGTTCCCATGCTTCAGTGGCTAAGAATGTTCCAAGCACAAAGTTCTAAAGCAGTTAAACTACCTCACTGCTACCTCAAGACTACTAACAGTGAAGCCTTCTTTAGGCCAGAGTATAAACTACTCTCTCTAACTTCTTAAGAGCAATCAGAGACAGAACTTAAATATGGTAAATTATTTTTTTACTAAGTGCAACTTCTGACATGTGATATTAGAGTATTACTCCAGATATAAGCTAATGCCTTGTCTCTATACTGATGAAAATTGCAGTTATTTTTATGCCCCAAGAGTCACAAAAAAAGGCATAGGTCAAAGAAGTCCCAGGACCTCTCAGGCTCTTAGCATCTCCAAACCAGAGAAAGCTCATGTCCTGGAGACTGTGTGGTCCTTGCACACTCCCCTCCCCACAGTTTCAGCATGCAGAACCATCACTTGGTTTGCACAGAGGAGATACAGCTGTTTCCCACCACCTTGGGTGCTTGCAACAAAGAGCCCTGCCAGCAAAACACATTAAAACATGTTTTGTTTTGTTCACTTCTCTGGACTCAAAACCTGCCAAGTTTCTAATTGGTAAACAACTCAGTCCTAAAAGCCGGTGTAATCTGACAAACTCTGCCTCATTTTACTAAGTTTCACTATTCATTATGACTTCTCCTCGGAACAGATAGAGACTTTGGACATGAAAGAACCTACTAGTTTCTATTATGAGTGGTGGCAGACTACAGAATCTAAAACAAATTTTGAAGAAAGCCTCTGTGGGCCCTCACTTGAAGGAAAACCAATCATTTCCAATCAACTTACACAAATACTTTTAGAAAATTACTACAAACTGGGTTTATAACAAATAATCAGATGTATTTACAGCATTCCCTTGGAAGGCAAACTTCTTTGGCAATCTAGAAGTAAAGTCTTCTATCCATGCAAGAGAACCTACATGGAGAGCACTGAACTAGGTGCACCAGGGTGGAAAGCAGAATTGCCAAAACCAACACCTAAAGAACAATAGCACGCAAACAGAGAGAACTAATTGCTCCATTGTCCAGGTCATGAAAACCACAGGAGTACAGAACAGAAAGATCAGCAGGAGTCTGAACAAGTGGAGGTGTTGTGTGGAAGGTACCCCTTGAGCCGGGCCTTCCTATGGTCTGGATAACAGCTGGACAGAAGAGTTAGAAACCGGGGCAGAGAGCACCCAACATGTAGCCCCATGGGCAAATTCAGCCCACCTGCCCCTGGAGTATTATTGCCAACTTTAGATTTCGGGGGAAAGAAAAAGGGCATCCCATAATGGAGCCCTCAGATTTAACATCCAGAAGTTTAAAAGCCACTAGATTTATTCTACAAATGTTCCCTGCATGAACTATATATAAGGGATTCTTCTCTTTGTGAACCAATTGCCAGAAAAAAAAAAGCATTCCTCTGCCAAATGACTAAGGCTCAGACTTTTAAGTCTCAGGACACCTTTATACTCCTAAAAATGACTGATGACCTCAAATAACTTTTATGTTACATCCAGCAGGATCCTGTAAATGTACAGCCAGCTCCTGGGAAGGGAAAATGCTATGGGTAAATTTTGCAGATTTCTGTAATGAAAATACTGCTACTATGCAGATTTTAAGCTGCCAATGGGTGACACTGACACAAAGCTGGAAGAAGATGTGCACAACTGGCTATGACAAGCAGCTCAGCTCTTATATATATAAGCTGTTATATGTGTGTGTGTGTGTGTGTGTGTATATATAATATTGATATTTACTAAATAGAAATTAAAACAGAAATTTTTTAAATACTTAGTAATTAATTTAAAAATAACAATAATTCCATCATATGCTAACATAAATAGCATTTTCTGAAGACTATTTTCAAAGACATAATAATTAGTGCCAAGAATGTCAATGTTTTACATTTTTACAAATTCTTTTAATGTCTGGTTTAACTTAAAACAAGCTGGATTTTCTTACCTATTTCTGCACTGAATCTGTTGCAATAAGTTATTTTAATTGGTATATGAATATGCCTTATACAGATGTATGATTAGAAAAGGTGGAGTGTTATCAATAGCTTTTTCAGAAAAATGTGGGTATTCTTCTTGGATACTACCCCAACACTCAGCAAGTGGTTGTTTTTAGTGGCCATGTGGAATCTGAAAACTTAGTTACGTTAAAATCGATTGATCTGGGACTTCCCTGGGGGACCAGTGGCTAACATAACACACTCCCAGTGCAGGGAATCCAGGTTCAATCTCTGGTCAGGGAACTGGATCCCATACACTGCAACTAAAGATCCTGCGTGCTACAACTAAGACCTGATGCAGCAGAATACATAAATGCTGGAAAAAAAAAAAAAAGAAACTATTGCTCTGTCTTATACTTCAGATGGTTCTTTAGCCAGGCATGATTTTGTAATGTCATGTAGTAGTAGCTACTTGGAAAATACTGAGTTATTGAATTAAGTAGATCTCCCAAATGCTGATAAATTTCATGATACACTATCAGAAAATTACATTCATTAAAATCAAGATCAACTTCATCAGAAAACTATAAAATATTGGCAAGTTATCAAGCTCAAAATGGCAGATGAAGAATTTCCACAATTTGAAACTTCTGCTAAAAGCCTGAATTTTATCATCAGCAATAAACACTGTTAACTGTTTTCCTTGATGTGACAAGCTTACTTCATTTGCTTGAGAAAAAATTTTCAAATACTCAAGTTTGAACAGACATAGATATAATTTAGTTATTTGCCACTGCTTTGAGAAAAATTATATCCTGTGGCAGCGGCAGGTGTGTGTGTGTGTGAATGAAGCTAGTTCATCTTGTCCCTCAGACAATAACTTGTCTTTTTTCTCAAGATACCATGGATCTTCAGTAAGTGGCAGAAATGCTTTCAATGAATGTTCCACTTTCAGAACACAGAATATTAAAACAACATGTACTTGAGGGTCAAGATTTAATATAATTGGTAATGCTTACATGAAGCTCATGTGTGCTTCATCAGGGACAGTCTTAAGTGGAACAGACATTAAAAAAAAAAAACTGCAAGTGAATGCAGTGAAGACTGCAATGACCACTAACAAAGTCTGGTGCCACTTACGTGACTGGGATGAGGCCCCAACGGTTTTAACCCCCACTGTTTTTGCACCATCAAGACAAATGCCAATACAGAGGGAAAAAAAATCTTAGTATTATTATGAAAATAGGGTTATCCTCCAAAACTTCAAGACATGATTGTGTAACATCATGTAGTAGTTATTTGGAAAATACTGGGTCCTTGGAGTGTCCTCCAGGGTTCCCTGGATTGCACTTTGAAAACTGCTGCTCTGGCCTCATGCAGCCTCTGGGCCCTGCTCACAGCTCAAAGTAGTGCTGAAATGGGCTGCGAGTTTAGCTCTACCACAGCAGTATGACCAAAATCACCATCCACAGTAATCTTGATGGAACATTCCTGTGTCAGAGACTGAGCAAAACAGAAGGTACATTATACCCAAGGGCATCACCAGTACTCCTACAGATGAGACCTGTGGCTTGAGATGCAGTTAGTGCTCCACACACTTTCAAGGAAATGACCCTGCTGCAGAAAAATTAGATATTCTGAAGAACAACTCAAGAAAGATTCATGGGGGTTTTGATAAGTATAAATCATGCTTAAAGTCGCTCTAATTGTCTTTCAAGTGTAATTTTCAGGACTTTACATTATTAAACAATGTTCCATCAAAATGGCTTAGTGAGAAGAAACTCTGCTGTAGAAAAGAGAGCTATACCCACTAGAACAAAACTGAATTCCCAGAATTCTGGAGATGAGTTATATGAATCTGTATTTGTAGTGAAAACTCAATGTCCAGACTCTGGGCAGTGAAGAAGCTCATGTGTGCATGTTCTCAGTTGTATCCGACTCTTTGTGACCTCATGGACTGTAATCCACCAGACTCCTCTGTCCATGGAATTCTCCAGGCAAGAATACTAGAGTGGGTTGCCATTTCCTCCTCCAGGAGATCGTCCCAAACCAGGGTTCAAACCAAGTCTCCTGTGTCTCCTGCATTGCAGGTGGAGTCTTTGGCCACTGAAGCACCTAGGAAGCCTCATTTTTCTTATAAACATCATATATTCATTCCAAGAATTTGTAATAAGTCAATCTCACAGAAACAAGTCATACAAATTAACTCATTCTTTAGTTCCCTCAACAAATGTTGGAAGCCTACCTTGTGGATCAGTCTAGACAGCAGAGATAAAGTAGTAAACAAGAACTGCTAAATCAGAAGGAGATAGAAAACAGATGAAGAGACAAAAACATAATTCGGGAGAGGTGCCAAATTCTTAAAAGAAAATTAAGAAGGGTAACTAGTGAGGTGGGCTTCCCTGGTGTCTCAGGGATAAAGAATCCACCTGCCAATGCAGGAGACATGAGTTTGATCCCTGGGTCGGGAAGATCCCCGGGAGAAGGAAATGGCAACCTACTCCAATATTCTTGCCTGGGAAAATCCCATGGACAGAGGAAACTTGTGGGCCACAGTCCATGGGGTTACAAAAAATTGGACACAACTAAGAGACTAATCACCGACTCGATGGACATGAGTTTGAGTAAACTCCAGGAGTTGGTGATAGACAGGGAGGCCTGGTGTGCTGCCATTCATGGGGCTGCAAAGAGTTGGACACAACTGAGCGATTGAACTGACTGAACTGAAGAGACTAATCGACAGCAACTAATGACGTAGACGAGGGTGGAAGGAAGCTACGTTAAGGTATACCTACTGTGGAAAGCTTCTCAGAGGAGGGAACTTCTGTGCAAAAAAACAGTCTAAAAGAAAAGCAGG